CCTACTTAACTCTCAACTACCTATTAAGTTCGTTCTTTAACATTCGCGTTGGTCGAAGAAAGCCTAGGTTGAAGCACCAGCAGAGTAGAGTGTTGCTGTGAGCTCTGAGCTCCTTCAACAGCAGAGATACTTGAAAAACCTTGATTCTGAGCTTCAGAAAATAGATTATCTGGAGAAGTTGAAGCATGCATCGCTTACACTCACCTAAAAATCAGAACCTCCTCCGACGATATTACAGAAAGAACCCCATTGCACGATAGTATCGCGTCTTCGTACACATCATTTTGAGATGGCGTCCGCTAGCCTCCTCCAGACTTCTCTCGAGTCGCATTGCCTAGTGTCACGCGCCGCGTCCTGCAATGCGGTCGCAATGGGTTCGGTTTGCGCTAGCCTATGTTTTTGTTCCCCATACTGAGGTACCACGAGTCACGCAAGTCACGTGTTGTGTGCAGTCACCAGCGTTCAACACAACTGAGCAAAGTGCAAAGCTTTCAGACAGTACACCAATTTGTAAGTGTTTTAGGTAGATGTGATTGGTTGACACCTTCATATGAATCAGGGTTATTTGGGCAAAGGCCTCACGCTGTATACGGCACGTACGTTCTCCCCCACCTGTATTAGCTTTGCACCATGAGCATGTGGTAAAACGTTTCGGAATTCAAACAAAGGCATTCACACATGAAATGGCTGCCAGGCTATGTACATCACGCATCCCCTCCCAAGTTGGACTGCCAGCTAGGCAGATGCCTACTGCTATCTTCTAGGCAGGTAATTCCGCAATGTCAGGTCATTCTAAACGTTACAGACAGTTTCTGATGCAGACTGACTACACTTTCATAAGCTAGCATATAACGTGTTTTTTAAGTGAATCAGATTTACTGTGGTTTCCTACTTGGGCAATCTCATGCCCGCGGGAATCAAAACTTTATCCACGCCATGAGCAATGAAGTACGGCCCCGCGTAAATCCTCGGGATCTTGATCGTCGTCCACGCAGCAGCAGGCGCTTGCGGACCCCTGACGAACGACGCGGCGTTCGCATTTTGGAGCGAGCTCTTGTAAAGAGGCTGCTTCAATTGAGTACGAAGTGGCTGTCCCTTTTTGTAGGCTCGCATGTTCGGAACGGTGAGCTTTTTGGCGATAATGTGGTATGCGGTGATGTTGTAGACGATGGGGATGTTGCTTTTCTTAGCGGGGAGTTTCTTAGAGAGGGCTTCGGCTTCGACGTTGTTGGGGAGGAGGATTGTGGCGTCCGCGAGGGCTGAGAAGTCGTATTTGGAGTTCACTGGACAAGGGGGAGGCGGATAGGGAAGAAGGGTTGAGGAGGGAGGGATGGGGGATGGTGGGGGGAGGAGAAAGGAGGAAGGAAGCGTGAAGAAGCAGAATGGAGGTGAATTTATTGTAAAGCTTTGTCTCAACAGAATCCAGATCAAGATTGGGTAATTTCGTTGACAACAGGACAAAAGTAGGGCAAGATCGCAATTTCACAAGTGTTAATCCATCCAAGTGGTGAGATGAAGCGCTTACGTGCAAGGCCGATGTACTTGTTGATGTCCTTGGCGTAGAGAATTGAGATAAGGACAAAAGAGTATGATTGCACACTAGAATAAGACAAGAGTGAACAGTAGAACTGTAGCATATGAGGATGTGTTTGATAGAAGAGAAGATGATACTTAGAACTTGTGCTTATAAAGAGAAACTTGTGTAGGGTGGAATGCTTGATGGGGTAAGAACTCAAAAGAGAAGAAGAGTGTGAGCTTGTTGAGAGAATGAGAGAGGTAATAAACACTTGAGTGAATCTTACTAGGGATAGCTGTAGAAGTAGCTTGAAAGAAGAACTTGAACTTATATGGTTTACTTGGGAGTGACTTCAAGCCTTGGGTTGGATGATGATCCTCCCTTCAGCTTGTAGCTTGTAGCTTCACTTGATAACTACTTTGTAGACTATATGAGAGAGAGCCTTATGAGCATAAACTTATATTAAAGAGAGTATTGTACAAGCCTTATAGATCCATGAAGGATACATAGGCATGCATAGAAGAGTAACCATCAATGGTAGCCTTAGAAGAGAGTAGTATGAGAATATCAACTTTGGAGACATTGAAACTTGGTTGCTAGTGAGGAGCCTTTGTAGTTGAAGAGGAGATTGAAGGAGAAGCTTGGAATGAGCTTGGAGAGGAGCTTGATGAAGAAGCTTGAGAGGCATTGTTGTCATTGAAGAACCTTCTTGAGAAGTTGTAGAGATGCTTGATGTAGATGAATAGTATTGGAGCATATGGTGGTAGTTGAGCACTTGGTGAGTTGGAGATGTAAGCCTTGTTGAGTTGGAAGAGAGCTTAGTGAGTTGGATAAGGATGAGTGGAGGAGATGATGAGCTTTGTTGCCTTGGAATAGGTGGTGATGGGATAATCGTGAAGTCCTTAGGGATGAGGTGGCAACTTTGGTGAATTGGGAAAGGAAGGAATGAAGGAATAAATGAGAGGCATATGGAGGTTGATGACCAGGAAGTGGAAGTATGTGCTTGAAGGCACATGGGAGGAGGATAATTGGAGGAGGTAAATGACTTGGGTAAACTTTAATGAGTAGGAAAGGAAAGCACATGGAAAATCATGAGGAGTCATGTGCATTATGGTGGGACTTGAGGATGAGTATGGGAAGTTGGTTTGAATATTGGTTGAGTTGGACTAGGAAAGGCTATGGTGGTTGGAGATAGTTAAGGAGGAGTTGGTGGGCTTGGCTTGGAAAAGATGAGTTGGAAAAGGAAAGTCTTGGTGGTTGGGTAATTTGAATGGGTTTGGAGGGGTTGGGTAACTTTGGGAAGGTAGGAAAGAAAGTTACGATAGTGTTTTGAGGAGAAGGCGTTGGAGTGCCAAAGTGGGTAGCACGTGATGCGTATGCTATTCGCAACACTTGGCGTATTTCGCATACTGCGGGTAGCGTTTTGTGATGGTGGTCGCCATTTTATTCAGCTCTGCCTTGAGCTGCGCCTTGGTAGGCTTCGGCTTCGCTTGTGCGCTCGCCCCAGCCACGCAGAGAGCGACTCAGATGATCCCGAGGACAAGAAAGGTTCGTGATCTAGCCATCGTGGCACGTGAGCAAGGATTCGCAGAGGTAAACAGACTTATGAGTGTCGAGTGGGGGAATCCGTTTGCGAGAGAGACGCTGAAGCCTGTAATTGTTGACGAGCAAGTTTTGGGTTGAAACGAAGGATGCCTTGGCTTTTTTAGTTGTTGGGAATAGAAACGGTTGTGAAGTCGTCGTAACGGGTCGTTGGCGTCTTCATTTTAATGTCGGTTGTGCTGTGTGTGAAGAGCAGAGAGAGGGGAGGCAGTTGCAAGACAGCGGGGATGAATTAAAAAAAGGCGGTGCTGGAGCCCAAAAGGGAGTTTCGAGGCTTTACGCGGTGAAGTCGTAACTTCGTTTTCGCACACAGCGGACGCTGTGAGGCAAAAACAGCTTGCGATTTTGCAGTGATTATGGGACCCCGCTGTTGGGTAGGGGAGCAGTGGTGCGAGATGCGACGACCAAGAAAATGGCGGCTGAGAAGGGAGGTGGCGAAGGTCTGGCGAAAGAAGCCTTTTTGCAAAGGTTGTCATTATTTCACCAGCAGCAGAACGCAGGCGAACGAGCAAGCAGCGGTTACATATATTGTTGTAAATGTTGTAGGATTACGTCATTATTGGTTCATGTATGACTATCGGAGAATAACCGAAGCCTTTTATAAATGGACATTTTCCAAGATGAACACGGTGGATTTGGCGCTACGCGAGCGCGCCACGTGGAACAAATTCACACCCACGGCCCCCTCGAGTCTTCCAATTTCTAGGACCTCACCCAAACGCAATCCCTCGTTACAGCGATCCTAGCTTCCGTCAGCATGTCCAATCTTGCTGGCCTCCGTTATGCCGTCAAACCTCCCAGTCAGATTAGGGGAAATTCGCTCTAGGAAGCAAGCCCGAGCCAGCTGCAGAAGCAGCAGTGTTGACCAGGCTCCTTCAACAACGGAGATTCTTCAGGAACCTCTACTCTTTCAGGAGAAGATTAGCTGTAGGAATTCAACAGGTCAGGCATCGCTAAGAGTTCCTACGAAGGCCAGCCCATTTGACGATCCTACAAGGAACAACCTCATCCGTCGATACTTCCGCGTTTTCGTTCACAAAGTTTTGCGATGGCCTCCGCTAGCCTCCTTCAGACTTCTCTCGAGTCGCATTGCCTAGTGTCACGCGCTGCGTCTTGCAATGCGTCTTCAAAGAGCGCGGTTCGCGCTGGTCTTAGCGCTTCGAGTCTGAGGTTGCCACTTGGCGGCAGGAGATTGGCCACCGAAGCGCATAAGAGGACCGTTGTGAACGCTGGTCGTACGATCGTTGTCGCTTCGGCAGAAACTGACAAGAAATCAGGTATTCAGCTGCTGCATGCACGCATTTTCACAGCACTGAATTATGCGGGTTATAGTCTTACCAGATCATCACAACGTACGCCGTTAGGAAACTGTTATAGATTGATGCGAAATATTTTTTCCGTATGCTCCTTTCTTTCTGCGAAAATGGTTGTCAGCACGCTATGCTACTAGTCTCCCCGTGTTGTAGCTTCTACGCTTCTAAATTCCTACTAATTCCTCTAATTCTTATTTCTGAATAGATTATTTCGTGATTTTTTCCTTTATTCGTTCAAATTCCAGATGCTAAGGTGCCTGATGTTGCTCCGTCTCAAGAAGGCGACTCTGCCGTCCGTCAACTGTTGGGAATCCGTGGCGGAAGCAAGGAAGACGTAAGGATTGCCTCGTGAAACTGTTCTTAAATCTACACGGGTTGCGAGTCTGATACTTTCGATTTCACTGGCTTATTTCGAGGTCGTGTTTTTTCTACAAATCCTTCAGCACTTATCGCAGATATCACTGATCAGTTATCGCTTCTTTTGAGGCCTTATCCGGATCCCTCATCTGCTTCTGCTTGAAATTTCAGGATATCTGGAAGATTCGCCTCCAGCTGACCAAGCCGGTCACATGGGTGCCGCTCATCTGGGGTGTGCTGTGCGGTGCTGCTGCCTCTGGTGCGTGAGTTTGATCATGAACAAAGGAAATTTTGGTAACGCAGAAATCGCAGCCGCCGATCCGGTTTCTCTCCGGCTCACTCCGTTCTTATCCTCGTCATCCTCATTATTCAACCTTCACGAACCGTCCGGAAACAAAGATTCACTGACTGATGGCGTAATTAATGGTACCTGGACCTATCTCACACGCTTTGACCTTATATTCCTCACCTTTGATTTCAGGCAACTTCGAGTGGACCCTCAAGGATGTGTCTATGGCCGTCGTGTGCATGTTCCTCTCTGGACCGCTCCTCACCGGCTACACTCAGGTCCGTTCATGCTTCTTTTGTTTCACGCAGTAGAATCTCTTTCCGATTCCTCCTTGGTGGCTATTCGACATGCCTGTCTCAATTCGTCCCTCTTATTGTTCCCTTCTCCCTTCACCCCTCACGCTTCTCTTTTCTCCCCCTCAACCCCTCCTCCAGACTATAAACGACTGGTACGATCGCGAGGCTGACGTTATCAACGAGCCCACCCGGTTGTCTGAGCGACGTTTTAAACGCGTCTTCCTCCCCGTATCTCTCACCTCTCATTACTCTCTTTTCTCCCTTCCCTCTTTCCCCCTCCCTTCCTCCCCTTCCAGACCATAAACGACTGGTACGATCGCGAGATTGACGCTATCAACGAACCCAACCGGCCCATCCCGTCGGGTGCTATCTCCGAGAGCGATGTGAGTCGCGTGCCTGGGATGCTGGGTGGTTTGTTGCAAGAAAGAAAGATTGCCATGTTTGGATAGACGCTCGAATCCGAGAAAAAGATTGTTAGCATGTTCCGAGATTGTCACAATTCGTGGCTGAAAAAAGAATTGTTCACAGGATTGTTCCAAAGAATTTGAGACGCATAAATTCGGTGGCCAGTGGGCATACTTACCCTAGCAAACTCCTGCTTCATTGCACCCACGAGCCTGACTTCTCATCTTCCTTCCTAATAAAGTTCGTCTCATTGCTCCGAATGCAGGTCATTGCGCAAATCTGGATTCTGCTGCTGAGTGCCATGGTAGTGGCGTATGGCCTTGACGTTTGGGTGAGTCTCTTATAGAGTGGTTCTAGCCTAGATGCTCTCACAAAAGGGGTCTGGATGAATGTGCATGCATGACTTTTTAGCCGACTCTAAAATCGTCTCAGTGAGTCTCTTTTTGAGTGGGTCTGGACTAGGCACTCTCACGGAACGGATCTGGTGTTAGTGCATGCATGACCTTGCTCGAAAGGAAGGTATTAAATCACCTCTAATTAACAGACTTTCTTTTTGTTCGGACATTCCATACATGTGCACAGAATATGTACGTGCCCCTCATTCCTCATGTGTACATTCTGAACACATTCACTGCGGTGGATGTCTCCTCCGTGTCTATTTTTGATGCGCCTTAGAAATACACATGCACTGTTGTGTATGCCTCCTCCTCCGCATGCCTCTCGTCCGCATTCTTTACTGCCAAATATGTTCCATTCTCCCATCTGATCCATCCGTCACCCATACCTTTCCCATCCTGCTCGCCCTCTTCCCCATTCATAACTCTTGACCCTGTTTGTCGTGCCTCGTTTTTCCCCTTGCCCATCTTCGCCACTCCCCTCCCATTCTTGCGTGCACATGCACATCTATCAGGCGGGTCACGACTTCCCCATCCTGCTTGCTCTCTCAGCCGGTGGCTCGCTCATTTCATACATCTACTCCGCGCCTCCTCTCAAGGTAAACCCCTTCCCTTCTCTTCTCGTCTCTTTCCTCGCTCGCTCCTGTCAGGGCAGTTAGGCCTCTTCTCTTGTGTCTTTCTCCTGGCTTTGGTCTTCGCTACAATGATTTGAAGTTACCCCGCAGGGGCAGAAAGGCGGAAAAGGGTTTGTGATTAAGAACGGGATAATCTACGCGATCTCAAAAGCATTGCATTGCATCTCACCTCTTCGGCGTTTCCACTTGCCACTGTCCACGCTCCCTCCCCTCGCAACCTCTGCAGCTCAAGCAGAGCGGCTGGATTGGCAACTATGCCTTGGGATCCAGCTACATCTCGCTTCCCTGGTGAGTTCCCTTGCTGTGTTGTGATGATCTTCGGGAATCCTCAAAATACGCCTGCTGGCACCTCAAGCAGAGCGGCTGGGTCTTTAATTACGCCCTGGGCTCCAGCTAGGTCTCGCTTCACAAAACAACGTGTAAAAAGCATGTAAACAGCATGTATGTTGGTGGGATTCGCACTGCCTCTGTGCCACACTGCTTCTCCGTCACGGTGCCTAATTGTCACACTTCCTCACTGTCACGCTTCCTCTCTGCCCCGTGTCTTTATCCCTCCTGTGTGCCCTCCTGTGTGTGGAAACCTGGCAGGTGGGCGGGACAAGCTCTCTTTGGCACGCTGACCTTTGACGTCGTGGTGCTCACTCTCCTCTACAGCATGGCCGGGGTAAGCTGTTAGAGAATTGAGTATTCTTTAAAGCATTATAGGTAGGACAACGATAATGTACACTCTCTCTTCTTCTTTACCGGGGTAAGCTGTCAGAATTTAAAGCTTGTTCCGAACCGTTAGCAAATGAATTGCATTGCACTCACATTCGATGAGATAGTGGTGCTCACTCCCCTCTACATCATTGCCGGGGTAAGCTGTTAAGAGTTGAGTCTTATTTAACGCGTTTTTGCTCGGCCCGCTGCTTGGCAGCTGGGCATTGCTAATCTGGACGCTATTTGCTCGTCTTCCCAATCGCCCCTTAGTTTACCCTGGCAGCTGGGCTTCATTAAAGCGAACAACTTTCGATTCGCCTTCTCCCTTCCATCTCTTCTTTTCCTCCTCTTCCCCACTCGCCCCACCGTTCGCCCCAACAGCTGGGCATTGCTATTGTGAACGATTTCAAGAGCATTGAGGGCGACCGCAAGATGGGGCTGCAGGTGGGTGCTGGGGGCAGGTGGGGCCAGGCAGTTTCGTGTGTGGTGGGGGGCAGGTAGGGGCAGGTGCAGGCTGGGGGCAGGTAGGGGCAGGTGCAGGCTGGGGGCAGGTACGGGCAGGTGCATGGTAGGGTGCACTGGTATTTGCATCCGCAGTGGCAGGAAGCTGGGCATTGCTATTGTGAACGACTTCAAGAGCATTGGAGGCGACCGCAAGATGGGCCTGCAGGTGCCTATTGGGGGGTGGGTGGGTGCTAGGGGGCAGGTGGGTGCCGGGGAGCAGGTGGGTGCTGGGGGGCAGGTGGGTGCCGGGGAGCAGGTGGGTGCTGGGGGGCAGGTGGGTGCCGGGGAGCAGGTGGGTGCCGGGGAGCAGGTGGGTGCCGGGGAGCAGGTGGGTGCCGGGGAGCAGGTGGGTGCCGGGGAGCAGGTGGGTGCCGGGGAGCAGGTGGGTGCCGGGGAGCAGGTGGGTGCCGGGGAGCAGGTGGGTGCCGGGGAGCAGGTGGGTGCCGGGGAGCAGGTGGGTGCCAGGGGAGCAGGTGGGTGCCAGGGAGCAGGTGGGTGCCAGGGAGCAGGTGGGTGCCGGGGAGCAGGTGGGTGCCGGGGAGCAGGTGGGTGCCGGGGAGCAGGTGGGTGCCGGGGAGCAGGTGGGTGCCGGGGAGCAGGTGGGTGCCGGGGAGCAGGTGGGTGCTGGGGAGCAGGTGCGTGGTGAGTGTAGGTGGGTGGAAGGCATTGAGATTTGATGGGAACAGATGGGTAGTTTGTTGGTTTGAGGGAAACAAATGGACCTTGTTGCCCCCCTTCCCCCCCTTTCCTCCAACCTTTGTTTTATTTCCTTCATTGCTCGCCTCTACTGGACCATGCTCCAGTCTCTCCCGGTGGCGTTCGATGTGGATACAGCTTTATCAACCCTTTCCCCTTCCCGCTTCCCCCTCAATTCTTTTCCCCCCGTCCCCCTCCCTTCCCCCCTTGTTCCATTGCAGTCCCTCCCAGTGGCCTTTGGTGTGGAAACTGCCAAGTGGATTTGCGTGGCCAGCATTGACGTCACTCAGCTATCTGTTGCAGGTGAGGGGCGGATATATAAACTGCAAATAATGAACTCTTTGTGACATAAAATTAAGATAAAAGCATGGCTGATCTCCAGTCGTAGGCATTTATTTGTGGCCAGCATTGACATTCCTCAGCAAACTCTTGTGGCAGGTGAGGTGTGAGAAGCACACTGAAATGCCACGACTTGTTAGATGAGTGAACCCGTGCTCCTCTCCTCGCTCTCATTGCTCCCCACTGCTAGGCTCACCTCCACGTGTTCCCTTCTCCTTCTGCCGCTCCCATCTCCTCCTTCCCCCACATCACCCGCTTCAACAGGTTATCTCCTCGCCACTGGCAAAACTGTCTACGGGCTTGTGCTGCTCTGCCTCATTGCTCCCCTCTCCTGAGTTCACTCCTTCACCCCTTCACCTGTTCCCTCTGTCATTTCTTTGTGCTTCTTCCCCTCCCCCTCCCCCCCCAATCCCTGTGCAGGTTATCTCCTCGCCACTGGCAAGACCGTCTACAGGCTTGTGCTTCTGGGCCTCATTGCTCCTCCTCCTTTGACTGGTCCCTTCACCTGTTCCGTGTCTCACCTCTCCCTCACTGTTGCATCTTCCTCACAGGTTATCTCCTCGCCACTGGCAAGACTGTCTACGGGCTTGTGCTTCTGGGCCTCATTGCTCCCCAAATCTTCTTCCAGGTCAGTTCTCCTGTCACACTCAGTCTCACTCTTGTACGACAACTGTTGAGGGCGCTTAGGGTATCTTTTGAAAACTCTCAAGGCCGTTTATGGGGATGTGTTGCTCGGCCTCGTTGCTCCCCAAATCTTCTTCCTGGCATGTCTATCCCAGATCTCTTGTCACTTTGTCTTTCTCTTCTAAGATGATAGTCGATGTTGCATCTGCATCTCACTCTCACCTTCAGTCGATTCAACATCACGGCCTAACTCCTCTACGTCTACTCTCTCCCACACTGCTTGTCGTGTTGCATTGTTGTCGTGTTGCATTGTTGTCGTGGTGTATTGTCGTGGTGGTTGGTTGTTGCATTGTTGTGGTGGTTTGTTCTTGCAATGGTGCATCTGCAGTTCACACTCTTCCTGCCTGATCCCATGAAGAATGACGTCAAGTACCAGGTAACGTGTAGTAGGAAGTAATGCGGAATAGGGTAGCCCACAGCCCTTCTTGGCGTTTATCCTTTTTCTTGCTTCCCCTACCAACAAACGCTTTGGGGGGTAATGCTCACATTCATTTTCTCTGCATAGGGCTAGCTGTTGGCTTTGAAAAGAAGCCCTTTCTACCGTGCCATCAATCTCCCCTCTCCATTTCTCCCCTCTCCCACAAACGTGTACATTATTTGAAGTAGAGCACGCATGGCACTTCATGGTGTCTAGCCTTCTTGTCGTAGTGCCATCATTATTTGAAGTAGTGCACGCATGGCACTTCATGGTGTTTGGCCTTCTCGTCACAGCTCGTCTCCTCTCCGATTCCCCTCCCCCCACACCAACTGGTAACATGCAGGCTAGCGCACAGCCCTTCCTGGTGTTCGGCCTTCTCTGCACAGCTCTGGCTATTGGCAACCAATAGACAAGAGCCCTGACCACCACCGCATCTTGGCACCTTGTCTCTTCCTGATGTACTGTATTTTTTAATAAGCAACTACCAGGAGGCGTTACATCGCGTGTTATAGCTCCTCCACGCAAGTGGGGATGATTGATTGCGCATGCCCGCATAGATTGTGAACAGGAGATTACCAATCACCTACTACCTATCAGCAATGTTTCATACGTGATAGCAGTGCGGAAGTGCTGGATGGTGTTGCTATATGTTGAAAAAGCAAGCTGAGAATGTGAATCATTCAAGCATGGAATACCACAATAGGCCCACCGTAGGAGATGGTACTACACTGGGGCTTGATTATAATTGTTTCTCAGAGCCACAGCGCTGTAACAAACAATTCCTTTACGGTATCAGCTGCACCCCGAAAGATGGCCAGAATATTACAAGCAGCTCCTAGGCGCTTCTATCAGAGGGGATACGGTAATACATATATCCACAAAACTCCCTGCCAGACAAACCCACCGGAGAATCACCAACTTTTATACTGTTCATTATTGATGCTCTATGCAATCCTATGCGTAAATAACTGGTGCAGCGGATGAGAATCCAAAGTAAGAACCCTGCAGTGACTAAACAAAGCACGGTATGTGTCGCACATGAGAAAGGCTTGAAGAAAATAAGTGGCTGGGGAGAGTCAAAGGAAAGGGGCAGAACAGGAGGCTCGGGGGTAGATGGATTAGGCAAAGGAGGGTAGGCATAAGGCTCAGCAGCCATGCACTGAGACACATTGATATCACGATTCAGATACTCGATGTAAGTGTTGAGACTTGAAGTGTTAGAGTTAGAGCGGTTGAGGTCGGTTGGTGGTTGGGGTGAGAGTGGTGAAGATGGGTGTGGCTCGGTTTGGGGGTTGGGAAGAGAGCTTGGGGGGCAGTGGGAGGGGTGCAGGGTGAAGGGATCGCAGCAGGTGGTGGTGGGGGGGAAGGCATCGTCGGTAGGTGGGCCGGAGAGGCACTGCGGATTGCAGGGGAGGGGAGGGAATGGAGGGGAGAAACATTAACTGACAAGGATCAGAGTAGATGGTGGTGGGGGAACGGCATGGGAAGTGGGAGGGGTCAGGTTGAAAGGATGGCAGCAGATGATTGTGGGGGGGAAGGCATCGGTGGTAAGTGGGCCACAAAGGCAGTGGAGGGAGGGATGGGAGAGGAGGGAGGGGAGAGGAGGGGGGGGAGAGAGGGAGGGGAGAGGAGGAAGGAATAGAGGATGGTCGTGAAGGAAGCAGGCGGCTCTCAAGAATTGTAAAAAAACAAACGCCTGCTACAGGAAGGCTGTAGCAGGAATATTGCTAGTGGAAGGCTGTGACTCACCCCCCCTGAAAAAGAGATAACAGCTGAGAAGGAAGGGATGCCGTAGAGGTTTCTGCCTATCGCTGTGAGAAGCTGGGTGGTGAAGGAATATGCATCCATGGTGATTGTGATGCGGCCAACTGATGGGTGCACGCAGGGGAGAGGCGCAGAGGGAGGAGAGGCGGGAGAGGGAGGAGAGGGAGGAGAGGTGTGAGAGCGATCGATGATGGAGGGTGAACGGAGAAGGAAAGGGAGAGGAAAAAGGAAAGGAAAGGAAAGGAAAGGGAATAAGCACCCACTCACAAGAACCCACTCACAAGCACGCAATCACAAGGCCGCCACTCACATAGCGTTCCCGCACATTCCGCCTTGAGCCGCTCTGCAAGCCCGTCACAGATGGTGATTGTGGGACCTGCTTCCACCACGAATTCCGTGTCTGCGTGTGACCAAAGCAGGAGGGGACGAAAGCAGAACGGACAACACCAGAAGGAACAAAACTAGGCATCGCTGCTCCGATACGCCTGTCTCTCTGAGTGGACGGATGAATGGACCGAACTTGAGAGGGGCAGGCTCCGATTTGCATCCTTGCTCCGATACGCCTGTCTCTCTGAGTGTCAAGATGCTGTGAGCCTCTCTGCAAGCTCATTTTTTAGCCGACTTAAGAAAGGATTCTTTAAGCCTGTTTTGCAAGCTCATCACTGGTGGTGATTGTGGGACCTGCTTCCACCAAGTATTCTGTGTCTGCGTGTGACTAAGGCAGAAGCGACAAAACGAGAAAGGACAAAACCAGAAGGGACAGACGCAGAGAAGACAACACTATGAGTGACAAAGGCAGGTGAAAGGAGGGAGGGAGTGGGAGGAAAGGTGGAGGTACGTGCATCCCAGACGGTACCATTTCGAGCAGATGAGGGCAAGAGTGGATAAGAGGAGAAATAGGAGAAAGAGGAGGGAACGGAGGGACAGGATAGAGACGAAGGAGAGGAAAGAGAGGAGGATAGATGGTGGTACCTGCGTCACAGACGGCAGTGCACATGACCATTTCGAGCAGATGTGCGCAGAGCGGATAGCCCTGCAAGGCTTCACATGCCTGGTGGGCGGGAGGAGAGAGAGGAGAGAGGAGGGGAGGAGAAGAGAGGGAGAGGTCGAGGAGCAGATGTGTGCAGAGAGGATAGCCCTGCAAGGCCTCACATGCCTGGTGGGCGGGAGGAGAGAGGCAGAGGATGAGAGTCAGAGTTTGAGAGGCAGAGAGGCAGAGAGGCAGCGAATCAGAGGCAGATGATCGCCAAAAACGGAGGTGACAGGCTCGTCTGGCACATGTTGCTGTATATTCGCTAACGTTGCCGAAATAGGGTAATCCCGTTGACTGCTAAGCTACAGTTGCACTGTAGACGCCGGGGATCGATCCTACGCACGACCTATCGCGGGTAGGGGACGCGTCCTCACAAAGGGAGGTGGGATAGAGAGGGAGGGAGGGAGCAGCAGTGCTAGCGTTGGAGACCAGGGCTTCTATCGCGAGAGAGACGTTGGATCAGATGTATCTCAGCGCGAGCTCCTCTCCCCCACAGAGGGAGGCTCCTCAGCCCGCAGCAGCAGCAGCACACTCACAGAGGGCGGGTTGGGCAGGTCGATGAGTCCAAGAGCAGCAGTAGCAGTGGTCGGTCCGCGGACCCACAGCCCGGCTCACCCGCAGCCCCAGCTCACCCGCAGCCCCAGCTCACCCACAACCCTAGCTCACCCACAACCCCAGCTCACCCACAACCCCAGCTCACCCACAACCCCAGCTCACCCACAACCCCAGCTCACCCACAACCCCAGCTCACCCACAACCCCAGCTCACCCACAACCCCAGCTCACCCACAACCCCAGCTCACCCACAACCCCAACTTTACAGAGCCACTCTCACAGAGGGCGGGTTGGAGAGGTCGATGAGTTTACGAGCAGCAGCGGTGGCGTTGGCGCCGAGCGCGCTGATCGCGAGAGAGACGTTGGATCGGATGTATCGCAGCGCGAGCTCCTCTCCCCCGCACAGCCCGCAGCACGTCATGTTGTCTTCCGTCGTGCACCGGCGCTGCCACACGGCCGCTCCAATACTAGCCGGTCCGACACCAGACGCCTCGATATAAGCCGTCTCGATGTTCTCGGGGCGCTGGCCAGTAATCGGGCAGTTGGGGTATTCTATTATTGGGTAGCCGTCTGGTTGTCCTGACGCCGCGCGGATGAGCAGGAGTGCAGGGAGGGCCGTCAGAATGGCGGACAAGAGGGCCGTTGGCGCGGCTGAAGGGAGCGTAGGGACGGCTGATGCGATGGCTGACGTGGCTGACGTGACGGCTGACGTGGCTGACGTGATGGCTGACGTGACGGACGACGTGGCTGAAACGATGGCTGAAGGGAGGGCTGACGTGGAGAAACTATGCATTCGCGCCATCAGCACGGTCGCGTCGCGGACTCGGAGACACTCGATCGGAATACGCGTTACAAACGTCCTCGCTGGGAGTGATGCGTATTTAACCTAGAAGAGTCGTTAGTGCTCGCATTGCTAGTATCTGAGAGCGGTAATTCTGTTGAAAGAAGTGAACGAGGTTTAGATAACATTACGAATAACTTATGCTAGGCATTTGGAAAATTATACGTCTCCCGCCTGGTGCGGCGCGGCTTGGAGGTAAGCTTATTTGTCGGCAGAGCACGATTTTATTGACTTGTGCTGAATATGGGGTGCGTGCGACGCAGCCGATTATCTCTTGCGTTGACTTTGAACTTATATCGGGTTCCGTTGGCGAGGTCTCGGTGCGATATAACAGTTCACAAAGATCACGAATGCGGATTCAGCATAGATTATCCATTGGTTACACATAACTAGAAGCAACAAGGCTCTTCGGTGAGCTGCTTTATTAGGCTCTCTTGGCGTTTATAAACAGATTAGAAGAAAAACCTTATTATTCTCCTATTATTCACCGTTAAATTAACAAAGCATTCATACGTAATTGATCTCTGTTCAGAGCGGCACTTCAAACGCACTCTCACATACGCTTTCACTGTTTTTGTGATGTCGTGTTGTGATGCTGCATGCGCAGCTCACACTCTCTCTCTCTCTCCTTGATTCGACTCGGAATCCTGCCCTCACTCTTCTTTGTCCACACTGTCATAATAGTAGATTAAGTTAAGACTAGGGTTTGGGGTAGGAGACTTAGAGAGGAACATGTTGAGTGAGTTTAGCCAAAGAGGTTCAATAATGAGAAATGGTACAAAGTTATAGGCAAGAAACAAGTGGTGCACCATAATAGCTACACTAAAACTATAGCTACAGGCAGTTACATATATATTCCAACACTCCCCCATAACTGCCTGCAGCAGAAGTTTGTGCAGCGACACATCCTGGATGGGTACACCACGAACAGAGAAAACAACAACAGTAAGCAAGAGCAGTGGCAACCGGTGCAGTGGTAGCAAATTCAGCTGCACCAACCCCTCAGCCAAGGTAGAAGCAACAGATAAAGGTGCATGTAGCGACAGGTCGCATGGAGAGCGGGTGCGTGCGGCGGCAACGTGCGGCTGCACAACAGGGCTCAACGGCAGCACCTGCCACTCAACATAAGAAAACAGCAAAAGAAACAGCAGGTGGAGGCAGGGGCGGCACCAGGAGGTGCCACGGTAGCAGCGGGCGCTGCAGATTGTCAGAAAGAGAGAAGTGATTGGACTAACAACATTGGGAGTACAAGTAGGAAAACCTAGAATGTTGTACCCCTTAAGGCTAAACCCACTATAGCCTACAGAATAGGAACATATACAATGTTTGACACAAATGCCTAGCTGACTTCCGGCACCGTCTCACCCTCCCCCCCACTGTGGCACGTGTGGCAGTGAGAGAGAGAGGAGGAGGGGCGGCTGCTGGCTCGGCAGAATCTCTCTCGCCACTCCCTCACATTCTCCCGCTTTCCCCTCACCCTCCCCCCGCATCCTCTCCCCCCCCTCACGGCAGACCCCGCGGAAGGGAGGGGGGCGTGGGCTGCCGCTGGCGCTAGCGTCCGCGTCGGCGTCGTGCGCTGGCGTCCGCGACGGCGTCGAGAGCAGGCGTCCGCGCTGGCGCCTGACGTTGGCGTCCGCGTTCGGCGTTGCACACTAACATCGGTGCGCGCGTTCGCGGCCAGCAGCGGGGCGACGGGGCCGTGGGCGACGAAGCGCGGAACGGGAGAAACAAACCAGGGGTGCGACGGGCGGCCGAAACGAGGCCGCGAAGAGACCAGCGGGGCGCGCGATGGGGAGTGCAACGGGCTGCTCGACGAGGCGTGCCATTGCAGAGTCTAACGGTGGGCCCATTGAAAGGTCCTAAATCGGAACTCGCTCTGGTATTGTGTCAAAATAGTAGATATAGTTAAGACTAGGGTTTGGGGTAGGAGACTTGAGAGAGGAACATGTCGAGAGAGTTAAGCCAAAGATATGGTGCACCACCAACAGTTCATAATAGCTATAATGAGAAATGTCGAGAGAGTTTAATAATGAGAAAGGTGTGAAATGGTGCACCACCAACAGTTCATAATAGCTACACTAAAACTACATCTACAAGCATTTAAAGATATATTCCAACACACACTACTTCTCGTATTGCATGTTGTGATGCACGATTGTGATGATGTCATATTGTCGCAATGTTGCATGGTTGGGATGATGTCGCATTGTTGCGATGTTGCATCTGCAGTTCACCCCCTTCCTGCCCGATCCCATTAAGAACGACGACAAGTACCAAGTAACGTGGCGTAGGAAGTAATGTGGAGTAACAAGTAATGTTCAGAACCACATAATTCCCCTTCTAGGTGACTTTTGTTGAGTCAACATGAAAGATGTGCTTGTCAAAGGCTGCATTGGCTCATGCGATTTCTGAGTCAACTCGCTCTTTCCATTTCCCCTCTCTGTCTGTTAGAATCTAGAGATAGGAATGAAACAACTATGGAAGAGTTGGGTACAAGTATGAAACCCTAAAAAGGGGATGTACCCCATATTGGCTACCCCACTACAGCCTACACATATATAACATGCATATACTTTGACACACCCTCATAGGCAAAGTCGGGGGAGAACAAGGGGTCACAAGATCAGTAAAGAGAAACAAAACAAGCTCAGGGTGGATCACAACGTCACCACACATACTGAGCACAAGCAAAGGGCCACAAGGCCAGTTCACATGCAGACGTATATATGCAACAACAACATCACAATGATCTCTACCTAGCAGAGCAAGCATGCAGGTATATATAGGTCACGCTACAAGCAAAGTCTACAGCATGTGAGGAAACGTGGGCACAAGGCCTAACAAAGTACAAAGACGCTGATGATCACCAGAAGGAAGTGCCTTGGTGAATATATCAGCAGTGTTGGCCCGAGTGGCCACGTGAGCAAGACGAAACTGACCACACTGCTGCAACGCTCGAGCCAGGAAGTAACGCAGAGCGAATGTGCCTCGTTCTGTGCTCCAGTCTGTGCTCCTCACACAAGGCAATGGCGGCCTTGTTGTCTACGTACAGCACTGGAGGAGAACAAAGCCGCTCTCCCAGGTCAATCAGCAGGTAGGTGAGCCAGCGGAGCTCCCGTGCAGCCATGGCTGTGGCGTACATCTCAGCCTCACAGCTGGAGCCGAGAACAGAGGACCAGCGTGTAGACCGCCAAGAAACAGAGCCAGAGCCAAGGCTGAAGGTGTAACCCTGTGACGAGCGCTGCGTAGTCCTGGTCATCAACCCAAGAAGCGTCTGAGTGCCCAGTGAGGACAACGTCGCCACGTCCTCCAAGCACGAGCCCCATGCCCGATGTACTGCACAAGTAGCGCAGTACCCTCTGAGCAACATCCCAGTGCACCTTTTGGTGCCTACCAGGAGCCACGTAGCGAGCCAGAAGGCCAAGAGGGTATGCAAGGTCAGGACGAGTGCAGGTCATCAGGTACATCAGGCAGCCCACTAGATCTGGGTAAGGACCACTTGGCTCTACGGACTCGTCCGAAGGTGGAGCTGAGAGCGAGTAACCTGTAGCCAGAGGATTGTGCTGTGGCGAGGACCAGGTGAAGCCGAAGTGCTAAAGGACCTGCTGCATCATGTGTGACTGAGTCAGTGTGATGGTGCGGCGTGCTCTGTCCCGGGTGATATGCAAGCCAAGGTAACTTCGCAGCTCACCTAGGTCTGTGCACGTGTGTCTCTTCTGCAGCTTTGACTTCACCAGGGCGAGAGCCTCAGTGTCAGCAGTGGCAAAGACCAAGTCGTTGACGTACACGAGGATGTAGAACGGCGGCAGGGAAGTATTGGTGCGCAGAAACAACGACGGGTCAGCAGTCGACGGAGCAAACCCAAGACCAGTAAGTGTAGTCCTCAGTGTGTCGTGCCACTCACGTGGCGCCTGGCGGAGACCGTAGACCGGCCGGCGGAGGCTCCACTGGGTACCAGGAGGGAACGACCCAGAGAAGCCAGGAGGGCGGCGCAGCCAGATCTCCTCGTGCAGGCTGCCCTGTAAGTAAGCTATGCTGAACTCCAGAGAGTGAAGCTCGTAGTCACGCTGAGCGGCAACGTGCAGCAACACCTGAAGAGTGGTCATCTTCGGGGTGGGAGAGAAGGTCTGGAAGAAGTCAACTCCCTCTCGGTAACTAAAACCTCGTGCAACGTAACGAGCCTTGAAGATAGGTGGAGAACCTGGCGGCCGCTTCACCCTAAAAATCCACATGCCATCGACGATGTTCGCCCCAGGAGGGGGAACCTCGTCAACGTAAGTGCCTGTGGACTTCCAGGATGCCATCTCTGCATCCATGGTTGTCTGCCACTGAGAGGAGTACTCACCCGCGATCGCCTCAGCGTAAGAGCGCGGGGTCGGGATGTCTGGAGCATTTGGGTCTCCCTCAGGGGCAAGCAGCATGGACACGAGATGAGGCGCAGCGGCTGCAAGACACTCAAGGTCCTCCTGCTTGTCCTCAAGGACGTCCGTGCCAAGAGCACACTCACCCCCGACGGACGGAGGACAGACAGACTCAGACTCAGCAACAAGACTGGCTGCGTAGTCTAAACGATAGGCAGCAGCTAAGTCAACAAGCTCAGCGACTAAGGCAGACGCAGCAGCAGAATCAAACGATGGGTCGGTGACAACTGTGGCTAGCAGACGCGTGACAGTAGGGTGAGCAGCACGAGTGCGGTCAGACTCAGGCTCTGGAACGTCAGGCAGAGAAGACACAGGCAGGGACGGGAGGGGAACACGCTGCGGAGCAGAGGAAGGACGCAGGGCCATGAGGTGTGTGCCAGGGACAGCCGTTGGACGCTCACGAGGAACACGACGACCAGTACGACCCGTGCGGACAGTGCGAACAGGCAAGACAGGACGAGACGCAGGCTCACGACGCTCCGTAAGACTGCCTATTAGCTCAGTGTAAGGAGAAGGAGCAGGCAGCGGTGAGCCAGGCTG